TCTCAATGTACAGTCCACTTTCAGTTCATGTTTCATTTCTTGTCTTAAAAATTAGGTCTGTCTTTGTGTCTGTCAAAATTAGTCTTCAGCTTAGTGGGAAAAGAATATTATTTTAAAATCTTGTGTTGCTGTTGTCCATGTTGCTGTCACCGGAGTTAAGCCTTGTGATACTTGTTTGGAGAACCCTGACTCACTTTTGTTAGATTTATATGCTAATATTGCCCCACTGCTATCGTTTCCTTATCAGAGTACTACTTTATCTTTGATTTTTCAAGTAAGTTTACCTAGAAGGAATCTTGTTTTCCCCCAGTGTTCAAGTGGAAGAGGATGACAATGCTCCGTGGCTGGGACACTGCCGTGTTACGGCTGGAACATGATGGATTTCTTGCAGGACTCCTCTCTTGCGAGGATGTGAGAATGCCATTAAAACTGGGATTGTGTGTAGCGATAACTGCAAGCGTTCTCTTAGGGCCGTGCCTCCCCTAGTATTAATCGATTGCTCTTGGCACTGGCGTATCTAAAATAAATACATTGCGGAGTAACGGTTGTATTTGTCTACTGAGCACAATTGCTTTTTGAGCAGCGTGATTGTGCTTTTAGCCGTAAGAGCTAGGTACTGAGAGTGTCTGCGAGAATCCTCCTCCCCTCGCTTCCAGGGGGCTTCTGGAGGTCATCTCGTGTCTTTGGCCGACGCAATGCGGGAAGGGAAGCATCCCCTCCCCGCCCGAGGGGACACGCGCGGATGCTTTGGCTGGCATGTCCAGGAGCGAACCTGTTCTCTTAGGGCCCTGTGGCCCGCCTGTGCTGTGAACTTTGGATAGATGTGTTGAGGTTGACAGATTTTTGGTGCCTCAACTTCAAGGTTCTCCAGCTGAAGATTCCCATAGAGGTCTGATCTTGGGGGGATTCGCATGGTCAGCTGATAGAATCATAGAATGGTTTAGGTTGGAAAAGCCCTTTCAGATCACCCAGTCCAACCATTAACCTACACTACCAAGTCCACACTAAACCAGTCAGACTGAACCATGTCCCCAAGTGCCACATCTGCCCGTTTTTTGACCGCTTCCAGGGATGGGGACTCCACCACCTCTCTGGGCAGCCTGTTCCAATGCTTGACCACCCTTTCCGTGAAGAAATTTTTCCTAATTTCCAACCTAAACCTCCCCTGGCGCAGCTTGAGCCCTTTTCCTCTCATCCTGTCGCTAACTACGTGGGAGAAGAGCCCAACACCCCCTCCCTGCCCCCTCCTGTCAGGCAGTTGTAGAGAGCGATCAGGTCTCCCCTCAGCCTCCTCTTCTCCAGGCTGAACACCCCCAGCTCCCTCAGCCGCTCCCCACCAGCCCTGTGCTCCAGACCCTGCCCCAGCTCCGCTGCCCTTCTCTGGACACGCTCCAGCACCCCAATGTCTTTCTTGTATTGAGGGGCCCAAAACTGGGCACAGCATTCCAGGTGCGGCCTCCCCAGCGCCGAGCACAGGGGGACAGTCAGAGCTGTTTATAAAAGGTTTTCGAATTGGGCACCTGGAAACTTTGCTCTTGAAAACCTTCCAGTTTTACTTTTTGTCTCGGATATCCTAGTTGTCCTTCTCATCAGAGGTGGAAAATCTTCAATTTGTGGTAGCTGATCGTTTAGTGTTTAATGCAAATAATTGATCAATTACTGGAGTAATCTTATGAGGTGTCACGAGTCCCTTGTGAGGAGACTATGAAAGCAGCTTTGAAGTAAGCTAGATCAGTTTAGAAATTATTGTCTTTACTTGTAAATCTTGTATGGAAGGAGGCCTGTCGGGTCATTTAGTCCCTCACTCCATCTGTGAGTTCAGCATGTTCCTGAGCAGCGGCCAACCTCAGAAACAGCATCTTTAAAAATAAATGTCAAGTGGACTGACTTTTGATATTCAGTTATTAAAGAACATAGCTGTTCAGTTATTAAAGATGTAGACAGTGTTGATCATACCAGTCTTGACTGTGGGTAAGCCTTAGGATAAGTAGGTATTTTACAAAGAGGCTCACCCTACTTGGAATTGGCAGCACGCTTCATGAGAGCGGCAGAGGCACGCTCCATCGAGTATCTCCTGTTGCGTTGGAGATAACGTCACGCTGATCGGCGTTAAAACGGCATTCAAAAAGAATACAGGGAAGGGATGAGTGAGGACTGAAGTGCTAAATACTGCATGCCTGAGAAAAGCCTTAAAAAATAAGGTTATTGCAGCCAGATCAACCCTTTGTAAGTGTTAACTCCAGCAAGGCTGGTGACCAGCAGGAAGCACGAGGAGCATGGCTCTCCTGGTTGGGAGCAGGAGAGGCTGGGGTTCAGCGGTGCCGTGGGCAGCTTGCGCCCTGAGGTGCACGGGAGCAGAACCTGACTCTGTAGTGATGGCTTTGCAAGCTCGCCCAGAAAAATTTAAAAGGGATCTGGTGAACAGACTGGCAATGAAATTCAATCACACCGTGTACCTGAACTATTTGCAGACTTAAAACTACCTTTCTGTTATCCATAACCATATAATGGTTATAGTTAAAGTTGCCTAAATGTTTTATTAATGGAAATGTCAATAAATTGCAGAAGAGTTTGGTTTAGGGGTTACACTATCATGGTATGCAACACGGTATGTTGGTGTTACTGTATCGTGGTATGCGTCACGGTATGTCAGGATCTTCCTCAGTAAAGAAAACACAAGAAGATTGAGGCTATATTCTGGAAAGCAATGCAGAAATTTGATTGTCCATCCAAAAAAATTCTTCTCTTCTCTAATGGAAGTCAATAATTTTGACCTTCACATTCTCCTGGGGACAGCTGTGGTGAACATCTACCTCTTCTGAAGGAAAAAATGATGTAGTCCAATAAAGTAACCCCCCTCACACCCCAAATGGGATAAATGCCACTGTACAAAAGGGTCGTTTGGAAGTATCTACGTTTCTTGTTGACTTAGATACCTTTTGCTTTGGGCCGTATTAATTTATGGCTGAGCTTAATTTTCAGGGCTTAAAAGTTTTTCATATGAGGGTCGTAGTTAACATCCAAGTCAGGAAATGAGAAAAGCTGTATTTCTAGTGATGCTAATTCAGTCACTCCGTGTATTTCTGCATGTTTTGTGGCATACATCTTAAAATAGGTAGTGATGTTTTTCTGTCCACTTATCAAGAGAGGATGGGAACGGACTGTATAACATATGCAGTGGCTGAAGGACTTGGCATTAAACAACCAACCTGAAGCCAAATGGTTTGCTTCTGTACGCACACAGATTTGATTTCAGAGGAGCTGAGACTTCCTTACCCTCCACGTGAACTTGGCCTGTTATCTTTTGTTTTTCCTGAATTTGTTTTTCATTTTACAGATGACACAGGGATTTACAGGCATGAGAATGTCTGTAATGTGCTTTTGACTGAATAATGAAAGTTGTGGTTCTTACCACCACCAATACTTCGGGGGGTAAGGCAGTGAGGAGGGATAGCTGTTTGCAGCTTTTTAGAAGAAAAGCACAGCTTCGGGTTTTTGCTTGCACTTTCATATCTGCATTGCATTATCGGCATCAACTTTTGAATCTCCGTGAATCTGTCCTTGTTGAGCTCCAGCCTTGCTTAACAAACTTGATCCTAACGCCTTTGGTAAACAAGATAATGTTCAGCGAAAGGGAATATTTATCCCCTGTACAATGTCAGGGCTGTGCTCCGTAATAAGCATGATTTCCTGCTGCTTAGTTCTCATGGTGGTAGACCATTTAAGACTGATTTGGGTATGATGTCTGAGAGGGCAAAAGTGTTTTCAATTATTTTCCCTTAAATCTGGGAGTCCGGTCCTGGGCAGAGTTCACTGGCAGGGCTACCTTGCAAAGCAAGTCACCAGCCTGCGAGAAGGAGCAGCTTGGAAAAGCCACGTTGCTGCCTGCTGTTTGAAACCTCAAGCACAGAAAGCTATTTCAACGTTTTGAACTCAGTGATCAAAAAGCCTGGCTTAGGAGGATCTCAAAGAAACCAGTAAATGGTCTTGGAAAAGACGTCTTTGAAAATTTATTCAGTTGGGCTTCTTTTTATCTGGGCTCACGTTGTTTGTCTCTTCTTTGTTGCCGTGACAGACAGAAACTCTCTTTTCTCTATTTATTTAAATGACAGGTAGGTCCTGTACCATTTGGTCTGGGATTTGGGGCTTTAAAGAAAATAAGGATAGTTCTTAATACTGTGGAAGTTGACAACACTAAGTGGCTGTCTCCTCAGTGTTACATTTAGGTGATCTATTTTAAAACCACGATTGAAGTATTGCTGACTTCATAGGGATTTGGCTTCCTGATGCATACATACTTTAAAGTCTTTGACTCTGAAAAACCTTAATCTTTACGTTTTTACATGCAAAATCTGTTGTCAGGCGTATTCAGTGGGCCTTCACCTAATGCTGTCTTTGGGACCGCAGCTGTAAACAGGTGGCTACCTCAGTGTTGGTCATGTCAAAATATTGACATGACCAAAAAATATTGATGTGAATCCTGTCAATATTTTACATTACCATTCCCACGAGCACCACTCCAGCACACCAGAGAATTTAAAATATGCTCAAACCGACCTTTGATTCTGACAAAGACTCTGGCAAAGAAATGTGTTGTGATTTAGAGGGTACAAATAATATGTCTTAAACTGAGGCAGCCCGCTCTTCTTCCTCCTTTCCCTCTCGCAGGTGGGATGAAACGGGTCGGCACGCCTGGACTGAAATGGCTCTGAGCATCTGCTGGGACGAATACGGCTGCCCGTAAAACAGTCCCACACCGAATGGGATGCCAGTAGCTGCTTGTTTTTCCCCTAGCTTATTTTTCTAAGCAAGCATTTTGACATGCTGGGTTTTCTTTGAAAGCTGAAATTCCAGTGCAAGAACTCTTTCATTTTTTCAAATAAATGAACAAACAAAAGCGAAGGGTCCTGTTGTTGTAACCTCCAGTAGCTTATACCGAGAAATTCTGCCTGATAAATGGTAACGTTGTGCTTTATTCTTCTAGGGGCGGTAAGCCAGAGATGACTGACAAGATGTCGAGCTTCCTTCATATTGGAGATATTTGTTCTCTCTATGCAGAGGGCTCAACAAATGGATTTATTAGCACTTTGGGGTAAGAACAGCTGTTCTCTTATACTAGAAACATCCGTGAGAAGGACTAGCAGAACCCAGCTAGCTATCCTGTGCCTGACTCCCCGGAAATAGAGGGTAAAGCAAGGCAGCTTTATGTACAGATTTGGCCCTAAATTTAAAAATGACCTGAAGCTAATATGGCAAGTTAGACATTGGGAGGATGGAGAGTGTATCGATGGCTGTGGTGTGGTTTTGATATACTTGGTGGGGAGGAAGAAGCTTGTCAAGCGAAGGTGTGGGTAGAGGGAAAGAATGCAAGCAAATGATTTTCATGTTGTTGTCTGTCCCGTGTCCATCCGTGTGTCCCGTCCTGTCCCTCCCTGCCTGCCCCCAGTCAGGAATGAATAGGCCCCAGTGCAATCTGCTGATTGGAAAAAAAAGACATAGCATAGGCAATGTAAGTGGATTAAAAAAAAAAAAAAAAAAAAAAGAAGCCTTGAGCCAAACCATTTATATACCACTGACTGACCACTATGACTAGTTTTGTCTTTTCTTGCAGTATTTGAGGTTTCTCGTACAAACAGAATTCTTCTCTGGTCAAAGGAGAACATGTTTTCAATCTCCAGCTTTGCCAATGGCCAGCAGCCCGGAGCTGCGGTGGGAGCCGTGCCTTGCCGGCTCCTGCCCCCGGCGTGCTTCCCCGCAGAGCCCCTGTGCGCTTTCTTCTGCAAAGACCTGAGAGTGGGTGCTCTGGAGGAGAGTGCCTCTTGAGCAGTAAGAAGTGTATGCCACTTCATTAAACGGAAAGTAGCTGTTCACGTAGGAAAAGGAAGAGTTTGCAGAGAAAAGCCGTGGAATTAAAATACAGCTCTGCTGAGTGACAGGGTATGTTTTATTCTGCTCAACTGCTGCTGAGGAGAAATCTCTCCGAACATCAGAAGCTGGCAGTGGAGCTGTGTACTGTTTTGGAAGACCTTGCAGGGGGCTGGATGAGAAGCTCAAAGAGCACATCTGCCACCTTGTTTCAAAGCAGTGAGAAATTAGAGGGAGGGAAATAGCATGCATGACACATTGCTGTGGTACTTCAATACTGAATGACTAGCAAAGAAGCAACCAGGAAGCTTGATGATATGGTGAGTGGGCGCGCACACAACATGCTCTTTCTCATTTCCAGTAGCCATAAGGGCCTCAGGGTGGGTACAGTGACAGCAAATTTTTTGATGCCTACTGTCCAGATGCATCTGATAAATGGAGCTCCCAAGCAGGGTACAAAGACAGCATCCTGGTAAGTCTCTCGGCAGGAAACGATGGGCTGGAATCTCATCTGAGTGACTCCAAACTAACTTGTAGGTTTAGTCCTCTAGCTATTAGGATTCTGGAAAATAAGGGGGCAGAGAAGGAAGCAGACACTGAAGATGCACCATGATCTATTATAGGAAAGAGAAGAAAATATGGGATGCTGCCAGAAGGGAAAGAAGGTATGATAAAAGCAAGGGATGTAGTAAGTAGGGTTGGTCGAATAGTATTTGGCGAATGTATTTGACAAATTTCCCAGGTACTCGTCAAATATGACATGTACACTCTGCAGTATTCGATCAGCTGTGTAACTGGCCAAATACTATCTGCTGAAAACTGGCAAAACGAATTGAGCGATACTATACATTTGGCTATTTTTTTTTTTCTTCCTAGTATTGAAGCAAGTTTGGCAGTAAATAATTCCAGAACAAGTAGAAAGTTGTTGTGTTATGTTTAATCCCATACAGTGCATGATGAACAGTATGCAGTGGCTGTGGCTTTTGATGGCATTGCTGAGCAGATATTTTTCACCATGGGTAGTCCTTTCAGACATTGCAGGCCCTAAGCACATGTATATTCTAGGCTTGATGAGATGTTCTCATGGCAGGTCTAAAGATCCCTTAGTGTTACAAGCGTCCTCTTTGATTTGATTAGTACTGCTTTAAGGTAACTACATTATATAGTGGCCACACATCTTCTGAGCCTGATTTGAGCCAGAAATCCCAATTGCTATGTGAAACATGAAATGCATTATCATCTTAATAAGCCTTCATAATCAAATTAGTTTTGTTCCATATTTAATTTAGTCTTTGTCCTGGAGAAAATTAAAGAAGCAAAGGAAAGATTCGGTGTAATTGTGCTCTATACCATGTGGAGTTTTGACAGTCTTATGTCATAACAATGTGTAATGACTTGTTCATGTGGTTAATGAAGGTTGAGAAACAGATACCACTGTACATTCTAATGTCGTTCTAAATCTTTGAAGAGCGTTCCTATTTACTATTCCTATGACATGACTG